ATGTTAGTACATACCCAATATGCAGAAACCGACAAATTCATTTTAAAATTTTTTGAAGATCTGATTGTTTTTCCTTCTTAAGTAATACTAATATTAAGCTTTTTACACTGTTACATACGATTTGTATATTTTATTTTTCAATAGAATATGTTATCTAATTAGTAAAGTCCTTATTTGAAAAAATTTTTTAAACTTGTTTTGTTCTAAAAAGCTGATCAGAGATACAGGTGTTTTTGTGAATTTATCGATTTTACATGTTAACTCCACAATTAGTACCATTCATTTGGGATAATGAGGTCAACATGCTGATGCTCCCCTTTTATTTCTCCTAAACTTTAGCCTTTTAACAATGGTGTTTTTACGTAATACAAAAAATATAATATATTAATTTAATTCACTTCATGACGATTTTTCTGCTTATAATATAAATTAATCATTGCTTTAAACAAAATAATTAGTCTTTAATATGTTTTTTGTATACAGAATTATTATTAACAATTGTGGTTCCAATACGCATAGAATATAGTCTGTTTTCAACTTCATTTCTGGAAATATATTAAGCAATTAATTTAATTGTTGCGTGGGGTCTATGTGGTGATACAGAGAATAGTGTTTCCACAAAATTTTACACAACATTTTGTACTTTTAAATTCTACATTTTTCCACTAATACTCTGGTTACCAGTATGTATGTTTAAATATTCTTTTTCATGCGGAAAAAGAATTTTTACTTGCATGTTTAAATTAGTAATTATTGAAAGAGGTACGACAATTGCAGTTGAAATGTTTGAAAACTTGTTACAAGTTCGTGTTTGAGTTTGCAGCGAATCTTTGTGGCTAACATCGGAATTGTTTCTGGGGTAGTTTCAAAGAATCAGAAGATCTTTAAAAGAACTTGGTTTCATGTTGGTTATTATCTTGTGTTTTATGATCATCAAATCACAGTACAGCTTCGGGAATAGATGTCGGCATGTAGCTGAATTTTTTCTCAAGGCATTTGTACAGACGTCTTCAATCTCAATATAGGGCATTGGTTTATGAAAATGTGTTGCCCATACGATCCAAGAGTATTCTCTGAGAGTGTCTTTACACCTTCTTTGTTGGATATTTCACAAACTAATAGATTGTAGTAGCAATTTTGATGTTACTGCCACTTTCAATGGAGTAGAACCAAGGAGCCAATCTGGAGCCAATATTTCTAAGTACTAGAAGACCAGTAACTGGATACACTGTAGCAGTGTTTGGGTTAAATTCGGAAACGTACAGAAGACCAGAAAATTCCTTAACAGGCTTCATTTTTGGCGAAAAACCCTTTTGCACGATCAGAAAATGAGGGAAAATTGGTACGATTAGAGGTAATATAGACAAGGTAGCTTGCAGAACAAAAATAATGAAATAAAAAAATGGGGTAACTGTAGGGAAGTGATAAAAAATATACAATTAAACCAAAAATGTTATCAAAAAAGACAATGTCAATGTTGTTCATATTCGAATCAAACGAAAGCTTCGCTGGTTGTTCTGCTTATAGAACGTAGAAGATACGAAAGAATCAGTATTCCTTATATATTACTCCCTAGGATGTTACCTCACGATGCTACTGGAGCAATCTTCTGCAATATATTGACGACTGATTTTAAAAGATAAAAAATAAGTAAATCTCATTAGTAAGACAAATTGCCAAATTGATTGTGTATTAAATGTTAAGCAGCTCGTTTTGCCCCCTCCTACCCTTATTCACAGTTTTTTAAAACATGAGTTGTCTACAGCAGCTAAGATTGTATATTGTGCATATTGCAATAAACTTCTGTACACATCTAAAAATGAATAACGGACCACGAATTCCTGTCACTACAAAAAAGGGGGTTATTTTCGTAAGATTTGAATCATCCAAGTATTTCTTTGAAATCTTCACACCCACTTTATAATGCAAAATGCATAAAAAGTCAACGTTAAGAACGAAAAATGATCTCTCCAGTCGTGGTTTGAGCAAAAATTTCTGGTGTCAGTTTAAATTAATTAAAATCCATAACCGTTCTAGCAACATCACCAATGAAGGAAGGAAGCAGTTAGTCAATAAACTTTGTCAACTCGCCTACGTGGTCTTACGCGATTTCTTCGATTTTTCTTATATTGGAAGAGGTTATTACTTAAAGTATTTTTACTAGGTTACAAAAATATTTGTATTAGTAGTTGCTAATTATCTTTCAACGCAAAACGCAATTTCTTTTAATTGTGAATTAAAGTTATCGTCGTCTACCTCGGTTATCATTGTTTGTTACTGGTTTCAAAATTAAGGACTTTAGCGGTATCGTATTTTCACTTACTTTATATTGGTTCATTTTTGTTTATTACGTTTTATTAAATTTGTGTCCTTTATTAATTGTATATACAGTGAATTTCACTTAAGATGCAATATACAAAAATATATTTCCATACAAACCAGGGCGTACCTATTTACTTTGTCCCACATAAAATGCAACATGTCTGAATGTTTCTAGTTCTCGGTCTAGAGTTAATTCTAGTTTTACACTAGCACTATCACTAGAACTAACACAAGACCTGGAACTAAAATCATTCGGGTTTAGCCGTCTTGAGAGATGTGCGGCTAAATCCGAATGTTTCTAGTTCTCGGTCTAGAGTTAGTTCTAGTTTTACACTAGCACTATCACTAGAACTAACACAAGATCTAGAACTAGAATCATTCGGGTTTTGCCGCCTTGAGAGATGTGCGGCTAAATCCGAATGTTTCTAGTTCTCGGTCTAGAGTTAGTTCTAGGTTTATACCAACACTATCACTAGAATTAACACAAGACCTAGAACAAGAATCATTCGGGTTTAGCCGTCTTGAGATACGTGCGGCGAAACCTAAATGTTTCTAGTTCTAAGTCTAGTGTCAGTTCTAGTTTTAATTTTATTGTTATTCAACGTTAAATTGTGGTATATTTTTGTTGTTGTAATTTGTAAGTGTATAGTAGTTTCGTAACTATGGTTACAGCATTCATATATTGCGAGTTATATGAAATTCCTGGTAAATTATAAATTAATTAAAATGAGGGTGATAGAGGGGGATCTAATTCTAACATGATACACGAGTTTTCTACATTAAATATTTTTATCAATCATTTATATATTAGCAATGAACGTTGTACAATAATGTATCTAAACTATTCTGTATTAAAAACTCTTATTTAAATCGCACAAAAATGAATCTGTGACAAAAAATAATGGAACACAATAAAATTCATTGTCTAATTTTATATATTCCATATTGTATTTGGCTACAGTTTCTAAACCAGCAAAATCTTATCTCGTTACATTTATTTATTCATAGCGAGTAGACAATGAATGAACACATAAAAATGTCTATTAAGCTGGCTTGGTGTAATATGACCAAATGAAATACAATACCATCTTTTTAAAGATATTTGATCGTTTAAATGACATTAAACGTTAACTATAAAATCCCATTTACTTAATAGTTTTCACTGACGTAAAAGCTACGTACTTAATTTAAAACAAGAAAATTTAATTACGTTCTAACAAATATCAGATATTTAGAAGGTTATAGATTCACGTATTTCTACACGCAACGTGGCTGGTCAACAGCTGGTGGCTATTTTCAAGTTTAGAAAAAAGGTGTTCGAGCTACTATTTCAGAAGCCAACCGACGCACTATACCGATGTAAACAGAACGGAGTATTGCAATCAGTCGAGAAAATAAAGGCACAAGAGACGAACAAATTACTCGTCAATTGTGCTTTTTCCAACGACAAAAAAATCGATTTCCCTTTGTTAAAAAAAAAAGAAATACGATACGCTATTATTACAGACGACATCAAATGATTAAAAAAATCACGAAACGCGATCAATATTGCGAAACACCCAACAACTTTGAGTCACAGTTATGTAAATCGAATAATTTTGGTATTTTAGCCTTTAACCAAGAAGCCAAACCCCCGGATTTGGAGCGCACACGCAACGAGATTACAGTGTAGTTTTAGCACTAGGGATACGAAAGAGTTTAGCGAGGGCTTGGTAAACGACGTAAATGTCAAAGGTTAGGGCGGAGGGGCGAAACTGGGTCACGCAGGGCGAGGTACCCTACAGATTCCTTCAATTATTGATGAGGTCAGAACATTGGTAGAAACCAAATACAATTTAAGGAACACTTATTAGATTTGTACACTATTTCTCTTATAATATTAAATTACAATAATTATTTTAATATATTCAGTTCTTTTTTAAATTTTAATATATTATAATTATATCTACATATTCAACAAACTCACTTGATTTTGTAGCGAATTATGAGTAAATAACTAAGTATAAAAAATAATCTTAATGCATTTTTTTATTACGTCTAGTTTGCTACAAAGCTTTGAAAGCTCCGACCTATATATTCAGGCTAGTTACTAAACCTCGTCAACATTTCCGATCGGATTATAAATTCAATTTGATGTCAATCAAAACCACTTCAAAGTGAATACTGTCGCAGTTTATCGAAGAGGTGTTTACAATTTATGCGACCAAAGTATCGATTTTAAATACACGATACCGATAAAATCGTTGAAAATATTCCACATCATAGATACGAAAGTCGACGTGCATCGATCGTTTCCAATGTGTTTGTTTTTCAATGTATTTGTTTACCAGGCTCGCGTGCTCGATCGAGACACGTCAAGGTTTCGACATTGCTCTTGAATGCGCTTTAAACAACGCGATATAGGGATCCCACTATACCGAATAGTGTGTTAATCTTTGTTAAATTGAGATAGTTCGTTGAACCATCCGTAAGTCACGATTACCAATATTCTTCTTAATCTGTTTAATAACTCACATAATAAAATAGCTACTAGAGGGATAGGCTTAGACAATAAATAATTTAATTAAAAACATTTTTAAAGCCCTTTATATACCAGGTGCTCTACCGTAAAATCAATCAATTTCCAGTAATACTAGATGGGTAATAGTTATAAAGGAAAAGTAATAAAATTTACTCACCTAGCTCCATTGGATACAGCCAAGAGTGGATGTCGAGGATTAGGTCCATTTTGAAGGACTCGCTCTCGCAGTGCAAGCGACTGACTGGAACAGACACAAGCAAAATGGCTAATTATCATTCATTATTCGGCAGCCGAGACGGCAATCCGTTCAAGATTTGCATTCAATGAGAATCTCATTTCGATCAATGAGCAGGAACCGTTCGAGAACGCGACGCTGTCTAGCAGGACAATAAATATTGTGCAGTCGACCGATAAATCAACATCAAAATTTCTTTTCTCTGTCAAAATTTATTTTCTTCTAAGATTTTCTTTATTCCAATAATCAAAAACTAATTTAATTCGTATGAGAAAATTATCATTTTAATAGACTATTTTGATATAAAAAAAAATTTTAGATAGATTTTCTACAGAAAGTTAGATTAAGTCATGGATTTAATCTTTTCCTGTAGCACAACCGCTGTTTTATTTATTATCAATTATATAAAATATTTGACGTAGTTTAGGTTTGACAATATTTCACAAAGTATCGCCTGGACATTTTATAAAATTTGATGACAAAATTATGACGCAACAAATAGAACTAGATTGTAGAGGCAAATATGTAGTAATATCGATAGGTGTAAATTATAATTTACTGATACCTTTCAACTTGCATTGATAAATATCATGGAGCTTTTTCAAGTATAATCCAATTCAATAGGCACTCACATCAAAAATAATTAAAATTTGATAAAATTGAGGTGCAATTTCGAATTAATATCATGAAGTTTCACTAAATTGGAGTTGAACGTATTATAAAAAATTGAATCAAAAAAAGTTCCATCCCCATGGTGCAATTGTAAATCGATAGGTAAACATCTCGGGCGGACATAGGGCCACATGCTTATTAATTCCAATTTCAGCAAAAGACCAGAGAAAGAAGACCTACCATTCAGAGATTAATAAAATTCGAGATTGGTTCTTAAAAAAGGTTCTTCCATCTGAAAAAAATGATACATCAGAAGAAAAGTTGGTAGAATCAAATCTCAAAGGTGTAAAGGATAATATAGAACATATACTGAAGACGAAGATGCACAAGTTACTAAAAAGATTAAAAATGGCATTCAAGAAATTCATATTAGGAAAATATTGTTCCAACGAAATAACTCCGTAAGAAATGTTAGGAGTGACTACTATAAATATAGAGAAAACAGCAATGGTAGCACGCCAAGTAATTTTGCAATTTAATGTTTATACCTGTGCAAGCAAAAAGTGGTGAAAACAGATTAATATGGGATAATACTTATTCTTGGATCTACTATTGTAATGTTACAATCGCGTCCCAGTATCTCACCTCAATAGAAAAAGGAATCGCTTTTCATTTGATACCTCGCTCATGACAATCGGAATGTAAATGACAGAATTACAGCTTGCGGCATTCTTGTGTGACAACCTGTATCTACAGGTGTCTTTTCTCTGCTAAACTTACATTCAAAATGGATGTATTGTACATCAATGGATTCAGAAGAACAATCTCTATCCAATGACGTGAAGAAAAATATACGCAGCAATTTGAAAAACAAAAGTTAATAATCGTTTACAATTGAAGATGGTGTTGGAAAAAATTATTTGTAGCATGAATCATAGTATTTATAAAACCATTTCATTTGATACCTAGGCCATGAAAATCGGAATGTAAATAACAAAGTTACAGCTTGGGGCGTTTTTTGTGTGACACCCTGTATATGGGACGACTGTAAACGCGAGATAATCGACAAAAGTTAGGGTTTTTCTTCATCCGATGAGCTTTGGATTCTATCATATTGACTGATCTATTCGTATTTCTCCAATATTTGCATGGTAGTTACTAACTTTCCTGGATCCCTAGTATCCATGTTACTTAGGAGATTTTCATAGCAACCAACTCGACAAGAATGCAGCGCTCTCGTGATGGTGTGAGCTAGGTTATTGAGATTCTGGTTTAAAAGAAGATTTCGAGTTCGTTGCCATTCAAGTCTCATATCACTTTTTTCTTTTCTTAAATCAATATAGGCGATAAATTAACATTTCTACGAACATGCTTAGATGAAATAATTGATGCAGTATGTCTGATAAGTTGTCTTCTTTATAAGAATGACATATAAAGTTGATAGTTCTTCTATATAGGAACCTTAAGGATTGTTAATGCAGCAACCCATATCTTTAATTTAGAATTTAAATCACCAATTAATAACATACGAGATCCTTCTTTAAATAATTTCTTATTAGGTTGTCGGTAAGCGCAATTCAACTGGAACTAAATTACAATAGTATCCAGAGAGGTACTATTTAATTCGCAGGGATTATGTTTGATTTTGCGTTTAATTATAATAGCAATGCTTCCCGAAGCAATTTGAGATTCTCTACCACTTCTGTAAATAGTATAACTGGAAATTCTGAGCTTCTCTTCTTTAATTAGATAAGTTTCAATAATACATGCTATATCCATATTGTAGGTGTTAAAAAAGCAGGATTTGATTTTTTTGTTTTTTAAATCCATTAAAATTTATGAGATAATTTATCCATTAAAAAGCGTTGACGTTTCGGATACCATATTGCAACCTTCTCTAGTAACAAGTTCGAAGCTTTTTCAAAACACACATGGCTAAACACGAAAGTTTTCAGTTCCAGATTTAGTTTTAGTTCTAGTGATAAAGCTAGTGTCAGTTCTAGATCGTGAATCCTTCATACGTATAAAATCAAAATGTGTTTAGCTATATATTTAGAATTTTACATAGTGCTTGCTGTTGCGTGCACACTGTTGTGAAGAAATGTTCATTCACAATGACATCATGCGCCAGTCTTAACAATGAAGATGTAAGCACAGTATCAGTATTTCCAGACTCAAATAAATACCAAAATGAACATCTCATTATTAGTAGTCTAGTAGAAAGAATAAAAGAAATACAAGTGGTACCTCTTTTGCATCAAAGAAATTAAGATTATATGAACTTGAATTTTCTCACTTTTTATCTTCATCTACAAGGATATTGACATTAAAGCAACTTTAACCCAACTATATTAACTCTCCAATCGGCGTTTTAAGTCAATCCTTGACATCCCGCAATTCAGAAAGTAAATGGATTTCGTCTATGTAACATATTTCTATATCGTTTTACCAATTCATTCTGAGAGATTGAAGAAACAATCTTACTAATAGATTTACTTAGCAATGTCAAGAAGAAAAGTGGTCCCCACGAGTTCAGCGGCCGTTGCTACTTAACCGGTAAATACATGTTGCCGTTTAAATTCGACGTGATAAATAGTCAGTAATAAATAGCCATACTCCTAGGAGATTCAGCAATATTTACATGTAATGTGCAAATATTGCTGTAATATTACTGGCTATTCATGTAATAATTTCAGACACAAATTGTCGTTAAAATATTGCTAGTCTAAACGACTTTTAACAAATACCTAAAATGTCAAATATAGAAGCTTTCTAGGTATAGAGTAGTTTCGATCATCCTGTATAGCAAGAAGAAAAATCATAGATTTATAAAAAGTCGATATAGAGTCACATTTTAAAAGACTCAATCAAGCAAAACTCATTCCAGTTAATGGACACTATTGATTGGTACTGCTGGATACTTATAGTAAGAGACCAATTTCCAAGTAAATAAAATTTTAACTGAATTGAATAGGTTAGGAAAGCTTCGTTGAACAGATTTCAATGGAGTTAGGTCTTTGAAGAATAATCTAACTTAACACCCTATCGAATTCAGTCTGAGTAATATCTTAACTTCACAATGTGCCTATCTTTTTCTTGGTATTATATAAAATACTTAGGCATTATACATAAATGCCTAAACAACTGTCTAACAACATCAGATATTCCACAAACTGCTTTGAACAGACACAAGCGTTAGATCTTAATCTTAATTTTGACGTACACATTTTGTGCCTTTCCAAAGTGCAAGTTCTTTTCAAGTTGCAGGAATTATTAATGCATATTTTTAAGCTTGATATAAATGTAGATATTAATTGATTTCGTAGAAATTGTGTTGAAGATTGTATTTTTAGATTACTTTTTGTGTATGATAAAAGTGAATTTCACGCTACATTCAATTCATCTATCTTGGTGTTATTGTAAGAAGCCCTCGAAAATTGGATTTATAATGTTCAATTGTGAACGCGAAATGGATAGATACTAAAAAAGTAAAAAGAACAAAACAGTATGTGATTTAACGGTTAATATGTTAATTTTTAATTAGAATCGGTACAGCCTATGCTTCGCTCAGTAATTCTAAAGATGTATAGATAGAAAACGCCGTTGAGTATGTAATTTCTGTAAAATTGTGTGACAAATTACGTCGGCTAAATTTCTCTAAAACCATAAATTTTAATTTAAATCATACACAAAGAAATTTTCTATCTATAAATTTTAAGTCCAATAATAGCTGCATTCTTGGTGCTACTAATACCTTTGAAAACGCTGTATCCTTAGTGTTTCCATGAATTAAAACAAAAAGAACAAAGAAAAACAATGAACAAAGAATTGGAGAGCAAGGAAATTGAAAAAAAAAGAAAAAATGAGAAACCATTAGTTTTAATCCGATCTTTAAGCGATAAAATCCCATCGAAAGCCTTCCCTTTTGCGCAAAAGGCAAAACTCTAATTGGTTTTATATTGGAATCGGTCTAACTTGAGGTCCCAATGACGTCATTTTGAGGAAATCGATCTAACGCGATTAAAGAGAGGTCAAGGCAAGGCTTTGTTTAAGATAAAAACCACAAGATGACATCAACAAAACATTTTGCCAACCTTCACAAATCACCATTAACTAAAATTTTCATTGCCTTCTTTAGGCGAATTAAAGTAAGATTTCTATAGTAAATAACTCTATAGTAAACAACCGCCTTATATTCACAGATTACTTATTTAACGTTATCGTACCGTGCTTAGTATATGTATTTACAATTTGTTTTAATAGAAGAGAAGTGTGGTCAAACTGAGTGTATATAAACAATTTATTGCGCTGTCTAGTAACGTTGCATAATCGACCGCAATCTTCTGGGAAATACTTCTACGTCATCTTTGAAACCATAATTACCCTCAGCTGAT